ATTTCAGAAGGATGAACTGATTTGATCATTACATCAGTAGGCTGATGTACAGATAGTTATAAAAGGGGGCTCCCGAAGTATGCGAACCAAGATGGCGGACATCGGAATGTAATATGTGTACTAGGTTAGGGTTAGGCCATAATTTTAGGTATAAATACTACGGGAGGCTCTTGGCTAGTCTTCGAACTGATAATAGGACTAAAATAAGGAAAATTGGAAAAAAATTATCGCCTAACCCTAACCTGTTACCCATGTTACGTTCCGATGTCCGCCATCTTGGTTCGCATACTTCAGGAGCACCTATAAAAGTTTAGGTAAGTGGTTGATGGAGATATACAGGGTGTCCATAACGTCTTTTTATAATTTCAATCTTGTTATGGAGTCGATTCTCAATATATCTTAACTAGGTTTGTTGTTTTTTACTTAGTAATTGTTCAAGTATTTTAACTTTATTTTAATACATCTGTGAGGGCCAAAACAATGAATATATGGTATCGATAAATTCCCTTTGCAATTTTTAAATATTTTAAGACTTCATGGACACCCTGTATGATGTTGGGTTAATTATGAAGCTGATTATCCCAGTCGCTTTTCCAAATAGGCAAACCTTTCTCCTGATTTAATAAAGTCGAGTTGGAATAGTTTCAAATGATGCAAATTCAAAACTCTATTTTGTAGTATCAGAAATTCGATGAATGTTTTTAAACAAAAAAAGTAAGAAAAGTGTACACGATCAGTTCAACAAAATGCAATGAATGGGTTGTCAATTGAAATTGGCTGTTTTAGCCCACACTTTAATCGAAGACTCTGTGGGATACAAATTCGCGATGTATGGAAATAAAGAGACCATATTTAAACTTTTTTGAAGGTTAAACAAAATTAAAGAAACAATAGTCACAATTAATCTTTAAAAAAAATATTCTAACTGGTGGCAGTTATACTAACATATATGAAATAAAAACCACTGAGGTACTAACTGATGAAAAAATATTCATGGAAAACGGTTTGGGAGTTAAAATCTGTTTGACCTTGACACTTGACACCAATCTTTTGACACTTGACAAACATATTAGTAAAGTAGTGTCGAAATGTGGCAACAAGGCAGTAATTGATAATCATCCATTGGAACTATAGATAATTTCATATTTGAATTGATGCTATCATTGTCAAGTGTTATCAATGCCCTTATCGCTTCTTTGAACAGTTACAAAATCAGCCAAGTTGAGATTTTGAAAAGTAAGCGAATGGGCTTGCGAAGCCTTTGGGATTTTCTGTAGCACACCAAGAACCTATGCTCTGGAACAAAATAGAAAAATTACAATTTTTTAAAGCTCATTAAAGCACAATGAACTGAATTGAGGACTAAAAAATAAATTAAATAAGCAACCAACCACCCCTGGTGCATCTCTAACATGTGCCTGATGATGCCTGAACTAAAAAAAAGGCCTTTTCCTCCCTCCCTTATGAGAAAAAAATCTTAACAAATTTTGAAGCAACTATTAAAAAAATACATGAGCAAGAAAAAAAAGAGATAAAATAGTAAATCTAAGGATAAATTGAAATACAAAAGCAATTTACAAAGCAATAATAACCATTGAATGTTAGCTATGGGCATATTTGTACTAGGGTGGTCAGAAACACTGGTACGTGTTTACTACCGGTATATGTTTTATTATCAAGAAAGGCTGTAACTGTAAAACAGCATTTCTCAAACTGTGTTACGCGAGCTCTATCGAGCGTTCCGCGGAAGAGGAATCGAAATTGCAAATAAACTAGTCGCCATGGCGATCTCGGTCGTACTTCGCTGGCTCTGTGTCGTAAATTTGTCTCCCAATTGGTGACAAACGGGCGGGCCGGCCTTGCAATCTAAACAGACCGATAGGACTCATGTCAGTCTGGAAAACATGGAGTTTTAGTAAATCGTTCATCAACCGCCGGCCGAATTTTTTAATTGTCAAATTTAAAGAAAACTTTTTAATTTTACAATAAGCTAAATTTTTCAAAAACGACCCAATGATTTTATCTTCTAATTTCTTGGTTTTCCACAAGGCAAGATAAAAACCATTAAGGGTTCCAGGGCAAAAAAAGTTTGAAAAACGCTACTGTAGTCTATCACATTTGTCAAACAACTGGTGACACCACTAGGACTGGGCATTTCAAATTGGATATTCGAATCAAATATTAAATTATTCGAATCGGTTTAGACGTTGATTCTGAATCGCCGCCATCTCGTATCAAGGTAAATTCCTCAATCTTTTTGTGAAGCCATATTTTTAAAATGCAATTCTGACAAACGACTGTTATCGTCAGTTATTGTGTGTGACAACTCAGGAAAGTGTGTGAAAACTCAGTAATTTATGTGACTGGAGAAACCATGACAATAAAAAAGTCACATACAATTAGACATTTTCCAAGTATTCGAGATTCGATTCGAAAAAAATATTCATTTCTGGTATCACCAGGTATTCGAAAATACGCAGCCCGAGTCACCACTGATGTATTCAGGAAAAAAGATTAGTTGACTCGGCTCAAGTCTAATATGATACTATGACATTACATTTGGGGTCGTATATCCATGGTTTCTTATTAAATTTAATAAATTAACATCCATCACTAATATATCAACTATTCCACAGACTACAACTCTTACACACAAAGTAATAAAGCCTGAACAATTGGAACAAAATGGAACTTGTAGGAACAGGCAATTGAACTTTATACAATAAATATTTTTAAATCACACAAAATCAGAGTTCTGAAAATAAGATGTGATTAGCTAAATGAACTTTTAAAACTTAGGATTTGGTAAATACCAGTCACACTGAATTTTTCCCAATCACGAAGTTATTGAATGTTGCAGGCACTCGTGCTTAAGGTTATGCACTTTAAAAATAATGAAAAATATCAAAAAGCATGACACATGAAAAAAACATGTTCTCATTATACATAATTAAAAAGCTGAACTTTTAAAGTTCACAAATGATATTACCAATTAAAAGAAAAGAGCTTTGAGGTCTAATAAACTATCATCTGAAAATAAACTAACTACAAAGAAAATTGGCCGAAATATAGGCATGATGGATCAGTTATTTAAATGTTGGGCCAGACTATGTTGGTTAGTTAAGAATATTGGTTTCCAGTCGCAGACCAGCACTTCACATAAGGCGATGTTTCCCACCCAGAGGCCTATGGCCCACAAGGGGGCCACAGAGCCGTTGGGGAGGCCACAATGCTTGGCACAAAACTGATATTACTTTTCATTTCACAAGAAAACTTTCCGTTCCTCCCAGTTTCATTGCTTTAAGGTAATTTCACAGGGTGTTTTCACTTTGTTGAGCTTGAATTGTTTAAATCTTATTGGATTCAGAATCTACCAATCGAAAAACACTATAAATACCACTGTAATTACAAACAGGGATCCACAAGTGCTAGTACCCTTCGGAAGGAGGCCGTGACCCATAAAAGATTTGGAACAACTGACCCAAAGCAGGGTTTCCCAAAGTGGGGTCCGCAAACCCCCTGGGGGTTCGTGATGACTGCACAGGAGGTCGGCAACGATATGGAAATGGTCTGAAACAGATATAAATAGATCATAATCTTATTGAATTACCGTTAGCTTGTCAGTATTCAACGTTAGTATGTAATAATTCAGATTTTCGTGAGTTTTATTAGCATTATCCTTCCCCGTTGGTTGGGTACTTGAATTGATACAACATAGGATGAGAATCCGTCAAAAATAAGATTCACAAACATGGGTCCGCCGCCGTAATGAATTTAGTAAGGCTGAACTGTAAAGATTTCAGTCCTTCAAAAAATAGTGACTCCTTGTCCATGTCCATAGCCTTGAACAGGATGGAAGAGCAAAAAACATTTCTTGATCATCATATAATAATTCTTGATTTGGATATTTCTGATGTTTTAGGATACATAATAAAGGCATTCAGCACTAGATGCAGAATTTCTACGAAAAATTACGTTAACAAAAAAAAAATAACAAATTGAATGTAAAACGATCTGACCAATTCAAGCAATATATACAGCGCCCTAAATGATGTTGCAAAGCTTGCTTTTTGCTGACATCAATTTTAAAATTAAGCCCTAAAGCCGAGGTTGAAATTTTTATCCAATCGGGTTAGTTTTTAACTATAAAGGGCGGGTCATAGAGGTCAGGGTAACCTAACTCTCGTGCAAAGCTTCCTAGAATACTGAAATTTTTGAGTATAAATCTTCACAAAAAATTGTTAAATAAAATTTCATCATTCTCGTAGAAGTAATCAACAAAATTATGGGTTTTGATTTTTAAGTCACCAAACAGGACGACATAAAAATTGATTAAAAGTTTTTTTCGACTACGGAACCCAGGCTCTTTTATAGAGAATCCCATCTTAATCAAATAAACTGATCATATCATAGAAACGACCGAACTAACACAACCTCAGCAAACAGGTCGTAGGGTTTTCATATTTATCTCATGGGAGAGAAAAGCCAATATGACAACTTAATCATATGGTAAAACATGGTCTTCGCTCCGCCTAATACCACTTCATGTCAGATATTTATTCCTAAATGCTCATTCTTACATAGAACTCTGATGGTTTACTTACAATAAAAATCTACTTTGATATTGAACTTTACTTGGAACGAATGTGGAGCACAATTAGTGTTTACAAAAAAAAAACGAAAAAAATTATTAAATGCTAATTTAAGGCATTGTTAAAGCACAAACACCTTTTAAAACAGTATTTCCCAGCCGGGGGCCGTGGGATCTCACGGGGGCCACAGAGCGGATAGTTGACGACACAATGATAGACGTTTTTTACATTTCGCTCTACAAGAAAACTCCTTGTTCTTTCTAATTTCATTGCTTGATAAATGTTTTCTAACAGGGTGTGTCCACTTTGTTGAGCATGAATTGTTTGAACATAATGGGATTTGCATTCTACCAAACATAATAACACTCTAAATATCACTGGAATGATAAACAGGGGGGGGGGGGGGGGGGGGGGGGGCGGGTCAAGTGCCAAAAGCCTCCGAAAGAGGGCCACAGAAGACAACCACTGTTCTGAAACAATAAAAGTGACATGACGCAATGTACATATCAGTGGCCGGTTACATAGAGTAATGTTTGGGGTGAAAAGCATAAAAATATGACACACAGATATATAAAACGTCACCGTAAAGTACTCAAAGTAAAAGAAAGTTTTATAGTTTGGAGGCTTTAGAAAATATAACAACAGCGCTTAACAAACTGTTTTGCGTCGTTGTCATTTTGAATGACAACAAATAACTATGACATCACAATTCAGTTCAATCTCCTTCTGTCGGCAATGTAAAGTTTATGATGTCATACCACCAAAATTAGGGCTTTTTCTCACCGAGTAAGAATGCACCAAAGTATGTATGGCTCGGATTCATGAATACCTTCATTCCTGGGGGATAAATTTTTACTCTGAATTTATCTCCGCGTGAAAGAAACGCTATCCCGCTGGAGTAGCACGTAATGTAGTCGTCTGGATTATGAGAGCGCGGAAGAGAATTTGTACAAGCTGCCAGTTCTGTGTTGCCGGTGACCCCAATCATGACCTTTTCAGTGACCTCTGACCCCCTGTTCATTTTGAATACAACCTGCAAAAAATAAAAGCAATGTTATCTATTTTGAAATTATTAACCAGCTCAAATTCGCAGGCTCGAATATCATGAGGGATAAATATCTTCCTCACTGTATAAAGTAAACTCCACAGCTTGCTTACAGGAAACATAGTGATCCCTCTTCTATATCAGTAGTTAGGATAGGGATAGGATAGGATTTACATATTTATCCCGAGGGAGAGGAAAGCTGATAAGACGGCTTATCCATATGGCGAACCACGGCCTCTCGTCCGGTTACCATTCCAAGTCGGGTATGGGATTAGTTTTACTGTATTGTTTGTTTTCAGAAGCATGGACTTGGTGGTGGAGGAAGCCGTAACTGACCAGCGGTTACGTGAACCACCCAACGACGGCGAGGAGTGCAGCAATCCTCTCGCACATAACCATCCCTGCATGGGATTCAAACCTGCGAACCCACGCAGAGTAATTAGAGGTGCGGTGGCGAGCGTATTCCTAATGCTCAGCCCGTTGAGCCACACCGCCGCGCCTGAGAAAAGTCCAAATAATCCCATATTTTTAATTCTTTTCACTGCATAGAACGATCATTATAATTTGAAGGCACAGAACATCAGATACTTCACCTTCTTACCTGACTGTATATGAAGTAAATTCCGTCTTTCATAACCCTAACTCCAGCTTCCCCTTCTCCTAGGTTGATTTCTGTAACGTCAAATCCCTGGACTATGGCTCCATTGTTAGTGTTGGTGTCCCAGGAATGAATGATTTCATCTGTCAAGAGAAATAAGAATAAGATAAAATAAACAAGAGAGCAATGATCAAACTAATGGAAGGCTAAAACGAAGTAGTACATTTCCTGACTTCGAATCAACCCCAGAACGCAATGATTGTGACGCCGAACCACCACAAAGGCTTGCAATTTTTGGTCAAAGCACCTAAAAAATCCCATAGAGCCCACATTGAGTTTTGTGTTTCTAGCGAAAAATACAACTTTTAACCACTGAAAATTTCAAAACAATTGGTCTAGTAAATACAAAGAACAGCAATTATTTAACAACGACAAGAAGAAAAATACAAAATGACAGAATGATCCTAGGTGGTGTTCAATGAGAGTTATATCTCTGTCCCAAAACAATCACCATAAACCCTGTGCAACCATCATGGACCCCTAGAGATCCGCAGAACATAGTTTAGAAAATCCTACTCTAGATATACCACCGATTATTGCTTGACAGTATACGGAATGCCCAATGACTTACCATCGGGTACTATACCTTGATATGGATCTGTTCCCTTGATTCTGACGTGGATTGCAGTGGCCTGGAAAAAGAAATTAACAATTACCGTAACTTCTATTGTAAAAGGTTTTTTAAAACCATGTTTCTAGAAAATTGTATGTTTTCCTGACAGTATTGTCGCGACAGTAAAATTTTGAAAAACTACATGCAAATATATATACTGGGTGTCCAAAAAATTCTGCTAATATTATAGTAATACCAATTGGAGTTCTTGTAGTTCTCATTTATCATAAAATAAAATTTATTTAAACTTACAATTGGTATTGCTACCGAACAAAAGATTTTGGGAGCCCTATTTTTTTAAATATATATATATGCATATACAATGCTTTTACTGTATTATAAAAAGGGCTAGGGAGTTGGAAGTCGAAAAGTTAGAGATGTTTCCACTGGTCTCGGTCATACTAACTACCCAAAGTCGGTGGTCAGAGTGGGAACTTTGAATTCTCTGGAGGCGGAACTGAAATTTCAGACTTTTAATAATGATAAAATAAGTAAAAAACGTTTTACTAAAACCCAAAAAGCATTGAGTTTACTAAACAATTGAAGAAGTTGCGGTATTTAAAAATGATTCATGTTTCACTTCATTATCGAAAAATTAATCGAGCTTGCGAACAGCAGTGACAACTGTCTTTTCAGATGGGATTAATCTGACCAGTCACGCTTCATTGATTTCTAATGATGTATTTACCTGTGGATTCGAGAAGCGGCGTCCACGAACTGGAAAAGAATGAAAAATTTGTTAGTGATTTTAATGCAAAAAAGTGTCATTTTTAAGATAGGCTTTACAAAATTATCCTTGTGAAAAAGAAAGCTGAAAAGATGACTCAAACATACGGCATACCATTCCTCTGCAGTTCATGGGATTATTTAACCAGTTATTTGTTTCAGAAGCATGGACTTGATCTGAAAATTCTGCAGGCAGATACAATATATTGGACAAATATATAGGATATGGTAAATTTAGAGTTAAAGGCAACTACAATTATATTTTAAGTGATTCAAGAGTCTTGCTGCACACTAACACAAATATATTTCTGTAACGTTTCGTCTGACCAAGGTCAGACTTCTTCAGACACACAGACGAAACGTTACAGAAATATATTTGTGTTAGTGTGCAGCAAGACTCTTGAATCACTTAGGATTGTTATCTCTACTCTTGCTACAGCATCCTTGCATTATATTCATACGGATCCGCCGGCACAAAAGCATAGAAGAAGGATAAGTAGTTAGTCTCGCAGAAACCAAATAATCAGCGCAAATTATATTTTATACTCAAGTCTGTGATTTCGGAAACAAATAACTAACTAATCCCATATCCGACATGGAATGGTAACCGGACGAGATGAAGTGGTCCGTCATATGATTAAGCCGTCTTATCGGCTTTTTATCTCCCCCAAGATAAATATGTAAAATCCTTTTCTAACTTAAAAATTGGAGCAAATGGAGATAAGCTGCAAAAAAGTAAATGTTTTTAATTACATGCTTGTGAAAATGAAAGGTCCTTTTTGGTATGTGTCCAAGTGCATAAGTCCCTAAAGTGCTCTGTACAGAGCCCATGGCTATATGAGAGAAATTTGTGGGCTCTGCGAGTTATTTGGCTACTTATTAAAATACTGACACGAATAATTTTGTAACTGTCCAAAGAAGCAATAACTGCATTAATAAAATATTGACAACAGTAGTATCAAAATGTGGCAACAAGGCAGTAAAACAAATAATTTTCATTTTTATAAATTTGTTGTGGGGCTCTGCATATAATAGTTAATCCCTTCACAAGCTTCACGAAACCAAAACTTTGAGAATCTCTTGTTAGAGTGTTTAGATCAGTGGTCAGCCAACTTTATCCTTATTGGAATGTGCAAGAAAGAAAAATATTTTTTCTGTCCAATCGCTTTGGAATGTTTGATGTTCATTGCAAACTTCCCTTTGTTTGTCAGACATTTTCAAATTTCAAAAATCAAAATTTCTTTAATTTATAATTACAACAAACAATGGGACGTTCATCCAGTAAACAACATTGAACTGACACTACTCACTACGAAACTAGCGCCGTACAGCACTTGTCACCACATAAATCTGGGTGAAGACAATAATAAATTTAGAATTATTTTTTTTCGCATTAAAGTTGGGTCGTTCGGCGGCTGCAAAAAAATAGTCCACTGGCCACATTTAGTCTGCGACTGACCCCTGGTTTAAACCATACACATCAGCAATTGATATTGCACTATGGCCTAAAAGCAACACATGAAACAATTCACAAAAAGCAAACATTTATAGGCACGAGCACGAGCTATCGTTGCCATACCCTGGATTAGGCAGTCACAGTTGGACTGGAAACAGTCATTAACTAACAAATTTATAAGTGCTCCAGCTATTAGGCTATGATGCTTTATGACAGGGGTGTGCAACCTGCAGCGTGCGGCCCACAAGAAAAAATTGTGCGATCCGCAGAAAAGTGACAATTCTGAATCCTGTGTGGCCTGTCAAGCAAGTTTTTGATTTAGTTTAATCTAGTATGTGTGAGTAATTCATTCAATTCTTTTGTGTTGCAAAGACTGTACCCAAGTCCAATTTGTTATCTATGCCTATGACGTTACAATTCCCTAACAGCTAGCATGTGCGAGGCAAACAACACATGTCGTAGAGTCAATAACCACAATATTTGTGCCTGCAACTACTAGAAAGCCCATGTTAAATAAAGGTGTGGCCCGCTGTTTTCCCAAAGTTATTTGTATCTGGTCCCCTTGTATTGAAGGTTGCACACACCTGCTCTGTGAAAAAATAAATAAAATTAAGTTGTTCCTCATGAGTTGGTGATGCATGGATTCGGTGACAAAAGTTAGAAGTGAAAAATGTGTGACAACTAAGTCTCAGTTGAATAATTAAGCATTCTCAAACTCATTAAATATCGTTAATTAATTAATTTGGGGAAAACAATTGAAGGTTATTCAAAGCTGTTGTTATGTGTTCATATTCATAGGGTGTCCATAACTTTATTAATTGAAGAAAATTACTTACTTTGAATTACTGATTAAAAAACGAATAACCTGGGTAAGATATATTGAGAACTGACTTCATAACAAAATTGAAATTGTAAAGGGACTTTATGGACGTCCTATTTAAAGATATGAAATTTTGTTTTGTGAATCTTCTAAATGAATCAATTTATCCCATAATAGTATGTTATAGTTTTAAATTTGTCTCAAAGAATTCAAAAAAAAATTTAAGTTTTTAAAATTTTTATACCCCCACCCGGGGTTGAAATGGGACTTTCAGGTCCATTTGATGCAAATGATTTATTTTGAGTTTTTGCAGAAATTTGGAATTCAATTATCAACATTGAAAGTTTGCAATTTCGACTCGATCCAAATTCAAAAAGAGTTCAAGCTCAGACTTTGGCGAGTACTAAAATATACCTCTAATGAAAAAATGCCAACCCTCACAGGGGCGTATCTACGTAAAATGGCGTTCATGGCAAAGTCTAAAATGCGCCTCTTTATAGTTGCTTGACAATTTATAGTGACCAATATTGAATTGAGATACTTGTACGTTATTATTTAAATAAAATACGAGTTTCAGTTATTCCCAATTTTAAATTAGTTTATTGAAACTTTATATGATTATTACTTTTTCTCCGTTTTTGCGCCCCTGTTCAAACGGCGCCCATGGCAATAGCCATGGCTGCCACACCCTAGATACGCCACTGAACTCTCATCCAAAAATTCTCAGCTCTGGTTTAATACATGAATTCACCGCAATTCAGACCCAATTAGTTGCACAAACAAATCCATGCTTTTTACCTAAAGGTGGACGAAACATCAAATGTCTCTTTATCCTCTGCCCTAAAGGGAATATATTATTCGAAATTATAAATAAGTTAAGATGATTGCATGATTGCCATTTTATATAGGATTGACTATTTTCCACTTTCGCAAGGTATACAAAAAAGTCTATACAGGTTTTCAACACAATTTTTATTTACAAATGTACAGAGCACAGTGCGCCACACCACAGAGCCCATGAATCTAATCTTTACCTGGTGGTCATCATCAAAGGAATCTAGACTGGCAACCAGACAAGAGGCTGCATTTCACCATATGGGTAATTCATTTCATCGGCTTTCCTCTCTCCAGCATGAACCAAATTTTTTTTTATATGTACAAGAAAATTTGTTGGACACCTTACTGCCAAAAGGTAATCTATGTAATCGCTGGTCAGTTAAGGATTGCTCCACCCTCAAATCCATGCATCTGAAACAAATAACTAGCTGACTAATCCCGTACCGGACAAGGAGTGGTAACCGGGCGACAGGTTGTGGTTCGGCATATGATTAGGTCGTCTTAGCAGCCTACCTCTCTTTGGAAATAATTATTAAAATTGTATTTAACATTACGTAAGCTGAATTCTTGTGTAAGATAATTATATGTGCAAGAAGATTGCTGGTCTCCTCGCCGCCGCAGGGTGGTTCACGTAACCACTGGTCGATTACTGCTTCCTCCACCATCAACTCCATGCATCTGAAACAATTAACTGGTTAACTAATCCCAAACGTGGTACTGAAAATCGAACAAGAATCGGGGTTTGTCATAGGATTTATCCATTTAATGTGATTTCATCCATCCCAAAATAAATCAGAAATTTCTATATTTCTTTACCTTTTCTGCCTCTCTTTTTTCCTTTAGTTCTTCTTTTTATTCTTGAAAGCATCGGCATCTTTCCAATTTCCATATCTACAAATGTATAAAAATCACAAGATAAAAATGCTCATTTATATGGAATGCCGACTAATATGGCCACTATGATGCCAGCAATATTCTAAACCAGTGGTTCTCAAACGGTGAGGTGCGCTCCACAAGGAGGCAGTAGACAATTTTTTGAGGGGGGTATGAAGCTAATTAAAAATATTAATATTGGTTAGTTTTTTTTTACCCGTCATATTTTGGATATTTACTTTTTTTTTTTTGGGTATTTATGTTCCATCCACGTATTTTCAACGTGTTTTTTGAATAAAACATACATCTGCCTCACTATTTGTTATTTGTAGCCTTTTGTTAGCTAGTTATTACTTATCGATCTTAAGATTGGTGAGTATGTTGATAGGTATTTGTCTATTTGTATGTTTGTCTGTCTGTTAGATGCACGCGATATCTCACGAAAGCGAGGTTGAATCTGCTCCAAATTTTGCATGTGCATTTATCATAGCTTAGATCAGAAGCCTATTGATTTTCGATGAATTATGTTGTATAATTAGCAAGTTATTAATAAATTAGTGATGGGACACACGATGTCATTATGGAGTAAGAGCGCTGTTTTTGGGGATCCCCTAACCTTCGATCGATAAGTCTTCAGTCTCCGACCGATATTCTCGTTTTTCAGTTGGGCGCTAGACTTGACAAATTCTAAAATGGAAGCGCTGCTCAAAAAGTTTGAGAACCGCTGGTCTTACCAAAATGGAATAAAACACTTCCATACCTTCATCCGCGTTGCTTCTTTTCTTTCTGTGTTGGATTTCTCCATCTTCATTGTCATCATTGTCTTCAACAAATATATCTCGATTTTTGTTGGTCTGCAGAGGATGCAGAATATAAAGGATATTTATTTTAGACTAAAGGTTTAATATTGGTCATTTGTACTACACATCCAACACAATATCTTACAATAGAAATGAAAGATAAGATTTACATATTAATCCCTGGGCGAGGAAAGCCGATAAGACAGATTAAACATATGGTGAACCACAGCCTTTCGCCCGGCCACCTGTTTATGTCGAGTATGGGGTTAGCTAGCCAGTTATTTGTTTCAGATGCATGGACTTTATGATGAAGGGAATTCGAAATGCACAATATAACGAGCCGTTGAACTATTTAAACAAAAAAAATGTACATTTTTATAAGAAAATGACAAATGGGTTTATCGAGAAAAAATAAATACAAATCATGTGTGATCAATTCACTGGTGAAGAATATATAGTGATGGAAGACACAGGAATGGATAGGATAGAAGAACATGCGGAAGATCGATAAGTTGGCGGTCTCTGATAGCTATCTCGTTTTATTATCTTAGTATATAATTGTTAGGAGGATAAACAAGGAAATTGTGGCTGAATAACCTAATTAAATTATCTTAACCATAGTCCATAGTCAAATAGGATAAGATTAACACATTTATCCCGGGGGACAGGAAAGCCGATGAGACTTAATCATATGTCAAACCACGGCCTCTCGTTCGGTTACGAGTTTTCGGGTACAGCATTAGTTAACCAGTTATTTGTTTGCGATGCATGGACTTGTCAAACTAGATAGCGAACGGAGACCGCAAACTTATCAATCCAGCGGCATGTATCATCGCTTTGACTCAATAGTGACATCATGTGTCCCATCACTAATTAATTAACGAGAATATCGATCGGAGACCGATGACTTAGGGGATTCCCCAAAACAGAAACAGCGGTTTCGATTTATTCGATATGACTCAATGGCGACACCATGTGTCCCAACTCTAATTAAGTGATAACTCGTTAATTATACGACATAATTCACCGAAAATAGGCTTCTGGTCCGAGATATAATGAATGCACATGCAAAACTTGGAGCAGATTCAACCTCGCTTTCGTGAGATATCGCGTAACATACAAAAGTGTCTAACAGACAAACAGACAGACAAATACCTATCAACATACGATAAGTATTAAGTTAATTTCGACCTATACTCGCACGATTTATAATGGTTCTTTCAATAGGAGGAGCTATTTCCGTATTGGATGCATTTTTGTCTAAAGCCTTGTTGGGAGTGGAAATAAGAAATGACACAAACCTGATCATTCCAGTCATGGTTCCTTTCTCTGCGTCGTCTTGACAACCTGTTCCTGTCTCTGACGCCATGATTTGATGACGTCGTTTCTTTGTATTGATGTAGTTCGTTTGATAAGGTAGATACTTGATGTTGAAGATGGTCCAGTTCGCGCCAAAGTACAATATTCCACGCGAATAGGAGGATGCATAGTCCGAATAATAAAAAAATCGCTATCGCCACCCCGCGGAAGTTTTGCCTAAGATCGTTTTGCCACCAGGGGACTTTATTGCCACATTTGCATGGTCTCTCATTTTTCTGTTTTCGTAAATATGACGTATCTACAATGACGTCACGATCCATTGTGGTCATTTGTTTGAAACAATATGTTGGATTACAATTGTCAATAGGACGCATTGATGCCAGGGATCGAAAAATGTCGCACAACCTCTTACTTATTTATGACAAATTAAGCGATCGGAACTACATGATAAAGAGTATCTATGTCTGAAAAATAGAGCATAAAAAACTTTTAATGCATACATATAATGAAAACACGAACTACGCCGTATCGTTCTGCGGCCATGTGTAGAAGATTCAAGTCTAGCACAAAACTTGGATCTCCAGAAGTATGCGCACCAAGATGGCGCACAATCTGAACATAGTATGTGTGTACCGGTCAGGGTTCAGGTTGTGCGACATCTTGGTGCGCATACTTCTGGAGCACCCAAAACTTTTATTTCAGTTCAAAACAGTCCTTCCTTAATTCTATATAAATCTGATATAAGAGAAGTTCGAATATTCGATTCGTTTTGCCATTCCTGCACCACCCATCTTACTAACTCTCATTGTAGCCCACAACTTTCGTTATCTGAGCAAGCACAAAACTGCAACACAATATTTATTCATATTCTATTTGCTAAACACCACGGGACAAACAATATAAGCTGAGTAAATCATAAACAGCAAACAAAACTCTATACAGCTTGGTAAACATTGCATGTAATATTACGATAAAGTTTGAATTTTATTTAGGGTTGTGAACGCCAACCTGCCATATTGTTTTACGACTTACGGCATTACTATTCACATGTGTGCGCATGAAACGATAATGGACTACTCAGATATCCATTTCTATGATGTTGAAACCTAAGCTAAAATTAGTTACCAATGTCAGAATTATAATCAACGCTGACGAGCAAAACGATATTGAAATACATATTTTTGCAATTTTACGATTCAAATCTGAGCAAATCTGTCAAAAATGCCTGAATTGCGGATTTCATTTAGGAAACGAACTACCAAACTGAACAAGAGGCCTTGGCCGGCTCGGAGTTTGACACAACTCGTTAATCTGCGCCATTTCGCATCCAGCGGAGGATAGTTAATGAGCAAGAGAAGCCATCAAGTCGATGCATCTGAAACAAATAACCCGGCTAACTAATCCCATAATTGAAATGAACTGGTAACCGGACGAAAAGCCATGGTTCGCCTTTGCAAAAAAACATCTTACCCACTTTCATCTCCTTCAAATATGCAAATCTTTCCTCCCTATTGACAGGGCACAAATCAATATAGCTTGGTAAACAGCACATGCAGCAATAAAAGTTTACTACGTGATTCATCACAGGCGCTACACGCAAGGAACGATAAGCGACAACTTAATTTAGATATTTCCAAGTAGGACATGAACCAACAACCGCACGTGGTTAGCGGTATCAGTAAAGAATCATTTTTTTTCTCCCAAGCAGAGACGCCAAACTTTTCTGCTGCCTGGGGCGAGTTTCTGATAATGATGCTCCTTATACCTAACTTTTAAAATAAATAATTCGGGGATAAACAAATTATAAATATTGGATTACATGAAAATAAATAAATTAAAAGTCAAGTAAGAGTGAAATGTTTGTATTATTAATATTCAAATTATCAAACTTAGCAACAAACTCACTACTATAACGTGCTGCTCGGGGCCCCTATGCCCCCTCTAGACATGCCCCTTCTCTCAAGATACAAAGTAGGCTCAAAAAACAAAAACCAGGTCTTTTGGAACATGTTCCAGAGAGACAATAACCTTGTGCAAAGCGTCCCAGCTTTCAGAAACTTTTGGGTATAACAATACACAAACAGAAATTCAAATGTAAATAAACCTCCTTCGTTCCTGCAGAAGTTATTATAAGTTTATGGCTTTTTCGGTTCACCAGATATCTTTTATTCTTTCTTTTCCAAGATACGTATAAAATACATTAAAGTTCCGAGCGCTTAACTAAAAGCGGAAAGTTCCCAATAAGAAGGTTGCGACTTGCAAGCGACTATTAACACTTTACGAACGTAATCTACGCTATAAATTGCATTCCACTCAGAACGGAGCGAGTATGTTATTATTAGTTTCATCAACAATTGACATAAGATGACGCATTATATAAGGAAATTGATATATCGACCATCTTGACAACGAGAGATACTGATAACACAAGACAAGGTTCAAATTCCGATTTATATTTTTTCATAAACGAAAATTTACTTTGTCTCTAAGGTGTGTATTTGACCAATCATACTGATTTATTATATCACGTGATTATATCGTGACATTAACGACAAAAAGCCTTACGTCTGTAAGTAGAGTAAACAAAAGAGTTTGACAAAATGGCTGAATTAATTAAAATAATTTGTTTTATTTTGACATGTAGGCTACATGGATATGAGTCAATTTAAATTTATCGATTCGACGAGATTTTCTGGTACCATTACGTCTCGTTACACGAAAATTAAAAAAAATCATTTTGAGGGCATAATAAGTTTTACAAAATCATACTGGATATCCCCTATTGTCGTAAAATACAAAAAATGACGTCAGAATATTTTTGAATTTGCTAAATGACGGCCCTCAATGCGTACACCACTGCACTATTACGCTTTCATACCAAGGGCGATCGTGCCTCTACCCAGAGGTTCCCTGCCTTTTTGTCAAGCGACCCATTTTTTTCTAAAAATAGATTTTGTTAATCTCGCAACACAAGGATATAATCGCATACTAAACGGTATGTAGTGCTTTTATGACCGCATAATTAAATGGCTACTACACAACAGTCATTATTACATAATATTTATTCCAACAGAGTTGAATTCATAGTTGCACTGCTAAGAAAGTTGCGCTTGTTTGCCATCAGGAAGTTTTTGAGATCGTGGCGTGGATTTATTTATTAATGCAATATAGATGCTGACAAGATTTTACACCGTGATATTTCCCACATATTAAATTACGATTGAGCAACACTACACTACAAAATAAACAATAAAATTTACTAGGAAATATTTTTTCGACGCAAAAAATTTTGAGGCGACCCGGTTTCGGCCGCGACCCACAGGTGGGGAAATACTGCCTTGGTCTGCTTCTGTCAATACGTGCCATGATACACAAAAGCTGAGAAACAATATCCTTCGTGACGCGCAACTAAAGCACAAAGTTGATTTATATTCTCGTCTCAGCCCTTTCATAAATGTAAATTTACACAATTGCTGAACCTACATTGCGGTTTAACCAATCAGATCGTTGTATTATATCATGTGATAAAGTCGACGTCTGCAATCTCAAAACAAAAGGTAAGGGAAAACAAAATGGCAGAGTAATAACGTTTTTTGAGCACGATGGGGAATAAACATATCATTTTAACACGAATCCTACTTTACTCACGCCGGTAATTCTTTATTTCTAAAAGCTTATTCTTCCAATAGCATCATTTCGAACTTCTTTTGAAATATATTTTAGTTTAGGCAACCCTTAGTGTTAGTGCGGATGAGGGGCTCCCCGTTCTTGCTAAAAGAAAAATTTGTATTTTAGGTGTGATTTTTATAATACGAAAGCCATTAATTAGTCCAGGGGTGTGCAACCTGCGGCCCGCGGGCCAAATGCGGCTTTGTGCCTGCAACTACTAGAAAGCCTATGTTAAATAAAGGTGCGGCCTGTGGTTTCACTCAGTTATTTCTAAGGTTTACACGCCCCGGTTGCATGCTGGAGTGAAAACGGTGTACCGGAGTTCAAACAGATGAATAAATTTTAAACGGAGGATTATCCGATTGGTCGCGTAGATCAGCAAAGTTCCCTCTAAGAGCTTGCTTAGTTGCACGGAATAGAAAGCCATGTGAGCTCAAAAAAAAAAGGTCTGCGCGAAAAATTAGAAAAAAATAGAAAAGAACACAACATTTTAATACTTATGCAGTGCGCGGCGGAACGAAACTACTGCGCGGGGGTTCTAGGCCAGAAGCGCGGCCGCGTAGCTTAGAGGGAACGTTGTATACCAGTGCTCCCCCACCTTTTTCAGTTCGCGACCCACTTTTATTGCCATCCTTCTGTGCGACCCACAATAAGGTGTTAATATATGAAAAAAGAAAACACAATGTATCCCCGTGCAATTTACTATGAATGGGAAAATTGATCATGCATATTGGATATTATCAGATCAAGTCTGATGACACATAATTCTAATTGTTACGTAATGATAATGCTACAATTTCCCGTTCTAAACGAATTTTCATAAAATGTTTTTTTTTACTCCAATCAAGCCCCTGGAGTGACCATGCGTAACTTCGTTCAAAGATGATCACATTATTTAATCCTGAGTGGGTTCGCGTAATACGCCACCATAAGCTTATAGAGCAGAAGCTCGGCAACCTACGGCCCGCGGAGTATCATAATCTGGCCCGCGTCGCGTTACTGAACTATAGTAACAAAACAGCTGTTTTGACGAATATATTTTTCACGTTACACAATTCATTGTGAGACGCGTGTAGACTAAATTATATTATAATCTAAGAAGTATAAAATTCACAATACCTCGTTTAATGAGCCTATACTTAATTATAATTAGACAAATGGCAACAAAACGCAGAAAAGTTGATGCTAAGTGCAAAGGGTTCAATGGCGCCGAATATGCAATGAAATGAGAAAATAAATCTATATTCTATTCGAGAGATGTATCACTGCTTGATTTTTATTATAAAAAAGTACCATCCGTTCGGTTTTCAACTTTCTAAAAATATGTGCGGCCCGACAATGTCTTGCAACCATTATTTTGGCCCGCGAGCGACAAAAGGTTGCCGACCCCTGTAATACAGAGTTTCAAAAAGAAAATAATACCAAGCGCGATTCCCACAAAAATGCTATTGATATGCGTTTATCACTAATCGCCAACTAGACCACTTTTTGTTTTAATTATTAAAGGAGAAGTAACTATTTTGGGGGATAAGAACATTTTGTGCTTCATTCGTGCAACAAAATTGGCCATGAAAGAAAAAAGATTGAGAAACACCGAACCAGACAATTCAGTCGTGCAAATAATGCAGAATGCAGCATACAACTACTTCAACTATAAATTCAAATGAAGTTTTATACCCCCCTGCCCCAAATTATATCCAATAAGCTTTAAAATACTCATCCTGTAATACAGGGTGTCCATGAAGCCACTTTACAATTTCAATTTTGTAATGAAGTCAGTTCTCAA